GAAGAGCAAGGTGCATTACAGTTTTTGAAAGCATTTTGAAGCCCAGCATATAGTTTTTGCTATATATATAAAATGGTTTTAAAAGTCACTAAAACCCTTCCATACTTTCACAGAGTGAGTGAGAGCTTCTTAGAAGCCAGCAGTTTCAGAAAAGAGTCATAAAAAGCTGAAAATTCTATCTCAAAGTCCATTAAATGGGGTCTGCCTCATAAATGAGGAATTTTATTGCAAGGCAAAGGTAAAAAATAGAAGAACCTGAAGCATTAGGACAGTGCTGGTGTCTGTGAAACATCAGGTGAAAATCAGTGAAGCACCCTTAAAAGAAAAAATTCCAGAGTTAGGACAGGGAAGGATGATGCAAAAATGAAGTTTTAAGGGCAGATGATTCCTTTTCCCTTGAAACAAGTACAGGGTAATTCCCTTGTAATTACATGAGGATGAATTAATTACTTTCTAACAAACTCAAATAAAAACTTGACTACATAATACTGCCTTCTCTTGCCTTAATTAAAAATGTCCAGGAGCATTTTCATAATGTGTAGATGCTTCCCCACATGAAATATCTCTATATTTATGCTTTTTTTACTGATACAAGGAAATTGGGATTACAGCTCCTCCCACTGATGAGGGATCTATTATGGGCTGTTGTGTATCACGTTGTGCATCAGCACCACACACCTGAGAGGGCTGGAAGTGCCCAATCCTCCTGCAGAGGAAAACCAACAGCTTTCTGCTCATCTGGGCATGGCCCAGCCCCAAGTGCAGGTTGCACTCTCCTGATGGTGAACACATGGAATTCTTTGTGCTGAGCAACCTGTTGTTTTGGCTGCCATGGGTTTGCCAGGTAGCTGAGTGAGAGCAGGTGAGGCAGCTCCCGTCTGCAGAGGAGGCTCGTGAATCTGCTCAGAATTACAAAGGAGCTTCACCCACCTTGCTCCCAGCCTTTGTCCATGCATTAAATCCCTGGCTGCAAATGCAGTTTGGAGCCAAGGACTTGCTAAGGAAACCTTGTTTGAAATATGCTGAACAAAGGGTTATGGAATAGGAAAATTTAATAACAACCCCACACTCCTGGAGTTGTGTTTTACTGCAGAATAACACTTTTGCATCTGCAGAATATAGAGGCTCTTAGAATAAAATTAATCTCTGCAGTTTCTCTGGCATGGATTTTAATTATACATATTTGCAATGTATATACATGAAAGACTATAAAGGCATTTTATACCCTTGGATGGTGTGTTGGCAAGACTTTTAGATGTGCATTAGTGAAAACAATGTTAATTTTGTTGCAGCACTCTGTATGTGCTGTTCCTGTTAGTCCTGGCTTCATTGATTACCATCTGTATTATCAGATAGAACAGCAAAGGAATTAATAAAGACTAGAAATTGCTTTAGTCTGAGGGTTCATTTGGAATGAAGGTAATTTTTTAGGGAAAAAAATGATTTGTGCTGAGGCTATAGGGGAGCTATTAGTAAGGTATTAATACAGGGCATCTGCATCACCATTAAAACTCAGAGCTGGTCCAAAGTAATTCCTGTCTCCATAAATCCAGGCATGAATTGGGTGATGGACTTGCATCTGCTGCTTTAAGAGAGAGAGGTGTGTGGATTTATAGTCCCCCAGGCAGGGCAGTGATGGAGGAAGATGATTTCACTTCCTTTGAAGTCTAATGAAGTGAATCTCACATAATGGGAGTGATTTTACCTCTCTCTGAACAAGATGAGGTCCTCCAGTAAATGTGTTTGTTTGTTTTGGGGTGCTCTCTGGCAGTGGGACATTGGGGCAGATACAGACATTTTCTGTTTCAAGCAGAAATTCCTGTTGCATGTGGATGTTTCTCTGAAAAAGGTCAGCTTTCAAGTATAGGTACAACAAATAAAGCTGCAGATGTGGAAAGCAGTTTCTTATTTACATTTGTGAGGCTTTTTGAGCAGAAAGCACTATTCATTTCTCATATTCATTATGCCCTTCTGTCATTCACCTAGATCCTATATAATTACGTGTTTAATGATCTTCACCCTTCACATGAACACAGCTTGCTGAAGCTTGACTCTTGCAGTAAATTATCATTCATGTCTGGTAGGAGAGAGGAAATATTACTTGGGAAAAATGCTGTGCTATCTGACTTAAGATTTCAGTCTGTGATATAACTTTGTAGTAGGTGATGATGACTTCATCTTAAATCTAAACAATAAAATGATTTTGGAGAAGTGGCTCTTCCATAGGTAATTTGTTATTCTATTTTGATATTAGAGTGTAAGTACTTCAAAACCTAGAAAAATTATCTTAATTATTTAAGTCAGTTTGGATGCTCCCCACAGATTGCAGTAAATCCACATTTATGTCTTTTTTTTTTATTTATTTATTAAAGAACTTTAAAAAAAGAAAAAAAATTGCCACTATAAATCTTTGGGTAAAAAACTGATCTTCCACTCATCAGACTTAATTTCAACTTTAATATTATAAAACGCTCCTATTTTTGTACTTTGTTTAATGTTTAGCCCTTCACCTTGTAGTGTTTCAAATAGCAATATTTGACTAACAAATAGCAATTCTTGCTTTTGATACAATGGAATTTAACTTATTAGAGGAAACGATTAATGTTAATCATAGACATTTTTATCATTTTAACTGTTGCTATATCACTAGAACTGCAAAGGTTTTATAGCTCTGCATTAATATCTACCAGAACTGTTTTATGAACCATAACTGCTGTTGCATATTATGGCTAAAACCTGAGATTATACAGACAGCCTCTCTTACTTATTAGCAAATAGCATATTCTAGAATGTTTAAGCCTTCTCAAATGTCCATGGGGAATATCTGATTTATTCTTAAAAGTTCAGATTTTAGCTTTTTATTGTGTGGCTGGGTGAGCTGAGATGTTCCCAGCTCCTCTGCTGAGCTGTGGGTGTCCAGACAATGCTGTGATATTACATCACTCTAACTCAGCTCTGAATATGCTGCCAAAACCTTCATATGCAATGTTAATGCCATATAGATTTTATTCAGGGAGCAAACAGATGCTTAAATTATAAACAATCTGTTTAAAACACAGATTCTGGATTGATCTTTACAGGCTCTGGGGCCCTGAAAACAAGGGTCATAAGGACAATAATCTTAAAGGCAGAAGGAGTCGTGTTAACTTTCTGAGCAGACCAATCTGACACCAACCAAGAGGAGAGGGCAGTGGCTCAGTAAATGGGGCTGATTGTTCTCAAGCAGGAGCTGATGGCAGGTGCAAAAAGAAAACCAGATTGAACTTTTGGAAAAGGGACTCAGCTGTCACTTGACATCTCTGTGTACGTTCCTGTGGGCTGGGTAAGAAGAGTGAACTGTTTTGAGTCATACATATTCACAGCTAAAGTGCTCTGAAAAAGTTGTTAAAACAATGGTGGTGTAACAAAATGCTGCCCAGCAAAACGGAGAGGATGAGTTTACACCTCATGTGGTTCGTGGGAGTTGTGCCATTATTGCAGAGCTGGGAATGCACTGGTGGCCAGGATTTTGTGTCTGTAACAAACCAGATCAACAGGGAAATCAGCCCTGGCTGCTGCTGTCCACTGTGCTCATTGCAACAGACAGAGCTTTGTGTTTCCTGAGCTCTTGAACAGCTGAATTCCTGAACAGATGAGCTGAAAATACAACTGTTTGTGACCAATTGTGGACAGAAGGACCTGCAGAGCCACTTGTGCCATAAGAATCTCCTGTGGTTTGGCTGTAGCTGGTGTTACAGGGCTTTTTTCCACACCTATTTTAATGTCCTAATGCCAGGTCTTATTCTAAACGATGCTGCTGCGTGGCCCTGGCAACCCCTGCTATCAATTGAGAGTAAAATGCATAACCAGCAACAACTTCTGTTGAGCTGTCTGCACAGAATGAGCAAACAGGAAAAAGTCTTTAGTGCTGGTTGTAACTCATGCTGCAACCTAAGCAAGTTGTACATATTTCCTTCAGACTGTCTTTTGTGAGGCAGAGAGAAATAATAATAGACACAAGTTACATTTTTAATGATGTTATTCACTTCTTATTGATCATGTTGAGTGTGTTAGACCTAACAGTAAACAGAATTTAAACCCCTATTACTGTGTATTCAAGCTATTATTCTGTATTTTTGATGTGTTGACAGTGATACATATGATCCAACCATTTCACACTCTCACAACTTAAAAATTATTGGAGATAATCTGCTATTCAGTATTTGGCTCTGAGCCTACCAAAAAAAAATCAATGGAAGTCCTTTGTCCCCTGGTTTTTAATTAAGAAAAACATTAAAAATAATGAATATATTTCTCATACTGCTTCATTTGTTATATTTCTCTCTTGTTTTTTGAAAAGCCGAATACAAATTTAATACAATATTTTTTTTCCTGGTGGGGCTTTGAAGAGAATGGGAAGATATGTGCGAGGGTTCTTCTACCAGGGCATGTACTTTTAGAATAAAGATCTTAGAACCTTTTAAGTTCAGCAGAGATCTGAGTTGTGATAGAGTTCTTAATTTTTCTGACTGCTGTCTGTGACAAGATTCCATAGATGCCAGTGTTCAACCATTTCCATTCACCTGGAAATAAGTTAAAAGTAACAAGTAAAAATAAGAAGTTAGATTAAAACATATGTTATGGTTAACCCTTCCCTCACCCTTTGATCTAATAGGTTAAGGACATTTTGTACTTGTTCATTTGAGCTGATAATGGTTCTGTAGGCATTTACATTTTAGAATGGGGATTTAAAATATATATAACAGCCGCTTTTTAAATAGAAAGTCTAATTATACCTATGATTGCATCAATTTTTGATTAGTATGCATACAAATCCCTGCTCTCTTGTGTATTCAAGCTGAGCTGTGGATCACTGGTGCTGGGATTGAAGCACAAAGGATCAGCTGACAAAATGTATAGTTAGACCAAAGCAAAAAAAAAAAAAAAAAGCAAACCAAAATTCAGTGTGTACATTTTTTTTTTTTTTGTTTCTAAAATGCCTTTTTTTTCCTTCCTTTTAGCTACACACAGACCTGGACCCTGGCAGCAGCAAAATCAAGTATATTCTGTCAGGAGATGGAGCTGGAACCATCTTTGTGATCAATGACAAGACTGGAGACATCCACGCCATGAAAAGGCTGGACCGGGAGGAGAAGGCTGAGTACACCCTCACAGCCCAGGCAGTGGACAGGGACACAAACCAGCCCCTGGAGCCCCCCTCAGAATTCATCATCAAGGTTCAGGACATCAATGACAACGCTCCCGAGTTTGTAGAGGGCCCCTACCACGCCACGGTGCCAGAAATGTCTGTTGTGGGTACGTATGTGTGAACAGCCCAGCCTCTCCCTGCTCACGGCTTGGGCTGTGCCAGGAGGCTGTTGAGTTGGTGATGAATAATAAGGTATTTATTATATTGTTAGCATTCATTTGCATATTTTCAAATCTTTTCTTGGCCAAAGCTTTCATCTGCAGCACAATAGTTGAGTCCCTCAGTAGTAAGGAAATGATTAACAGCTGTATTAATGTCTCTTTGTCCAACAACACTTTAATGGGCTAAATTTATATTTCCCTTCTGACACTGCAGTTAGAGAATTGTTATTGAGAAGGATTTATCAAGATTTGCTCCAGCATGATGCTTTAATCCTATTGATATTTTGTTGATGTTTAATTATCTGTTTGTTGTTTTCCTACACTTGCAGGGCATTGATACATACTTATTTGTTTTCCTCTAAGTGCAACTGTAATGAGGCAAAAACATTGAAATGAAAGATGCTGTGTCTGGGAATTGATGGTTAGGCTGTAGAGTGGACTTAACCAATTAGCCACAGGATTTGCATGGATGATGGAAGGGAAAAGCAGAGAAAGCTGTGGAAAAAAGATGGTGAAAAGGGAAATTAACTGTGTGAAAGCAGAAAAGAGAAAGGAGAAGAACATAATCTTCTTAATATATTTTACTTATATTTATTCATTTTGTCAGATTAGTGTGAGTCTATTTCTTCATGGATTAATATATTAGAATCTTTTCTGCATGGTTTGTCCCTGTGTGTGCAAGTGAGCATCCTTACAGAGGCAGATATTGACACTCTGCAGGACACACATCGAGTGCAGCTCATCTTCAGCTGCCACTGAAGCCAAGGGAAGCAAACCCACCAAACCAAGAGAATCCATTTCAGGGCAATACAAGAATTCAGCATAAGCAAAGGCATCAAAATCTGGCCATGAAATGCAGAGGAAATTCTAATGCATTTTAGTGTTAGGTTGAGGATAAAGTGCTTTTCAGTGATTTGTCTGCATCTGTCAAAGCAAGATAATTGAAGGAGTGCCAAGGCACTTTGTGGAATAAAGCAACATCCTATCACAAAGTTTCAAAAACACTGTCTCTGGTTTGGAGAGAGTTTATTTAGCTAAAAGGAGGAGGAATGTGAGGAGCCAGAACCATCCTCACTCACAGCACAGAGAGGTCCACCGAGTCATTGTCAAATACAGGTGTGAGTGCTGACTGCATGGTCAAACCTGAGGCTTCACCTTTCAAATCAACTCTGCTCCAACAAATTTTCATATCTTCATTGCACCAATTTACTTGTACCAAAAATGATATGTGAATTTTTGAGCCTGCATTTGAATTCTTTTATTAAACCATAGCTTTTATATGTTGAGTTACTTTTAATTATACAGCAGCACAAACATAATATGGAGCTGCTTTCAGAAGATATTTCAGCCAAGCTCTAGGTGAGCAAATGACATAATTAAATAAAATGAGAATAGAAAACCAAAACCAAAACAAAACAGTGTGGGAGAAGGAGGAAGAAAAATTGAATGCTCTCACTCCTTATGTAAATGGGATTTATATAGTATTCTAGAAGAAAAGAGAAAGATATATGCAAGAAAAGAGAAAGATATATGCAAGAAAAGAAAATATGGTTTCTGATCACAAAACCTATATAAAAATAATTTATACTGTACATATTTATAATTTGTGATAAAGACATGTCCACTATGCAAGCATTATTCACTGTAAAGAGAGGAGAAAAAAAAAAAAAAACTACCAAAACTGAAAACTTTGAGAGAAAACTAATCAGGAGATGAGGAAAAATCTAATAAATTGTTAACATGAGATTTAAAAGATGGTAAATGCAATGAGAGTAAGGGAATAAGAGAGAATAAAAGATAAAATATTAGTGGAAGAGAGGTAAAGTAAGAATGGAGAAAGAGTGAAAGAAGAGGGGAAAATGTGAAGAAAAGTAATGAGAGATGAATTATAAGTTAAAACTTCATCTAGAAAAACTATTATAGAGGATTGTAGCAGAAATTTCCAATGGCTGGATGTAGTTTAGGGAATAGCAAAAGGAGCTGGCTCCATAGGTTTCATCTGTTCCCCAAGCATGTTGGGAAAAGAGAGACGCTGAACTGCCTCTGAAATTACAAAGTTTCACTTTCTTGTGCTTTGTTAGGCTGCATGAAAGAGTTTTGCTAACAACAGAAATGGTTGTCACCATTACTAAAACTATATGTGTTAGAGATTTGCAATAGATGGTCTGACAGGTCTGGGGTTTATTACTCAGAGAGCTTAGCACATTTACCCCTTAGGATCCCTGGCCCTTCCAGGTGTTTTACAGGACATTCCTAGGGGTGCAGGTTTCCAAGCTGCTGCTCTACAGAAGCACCAACGTGCACTCCTGCTCTTTTGTTGAGAAACAAAATCTATTTCTCTGCTGTTGCTTCAAAGCTCAGAGAATGTTCCTGATTGCATTACATGGGACATGAGTGAGTGTGAAGTCTCTGAAGTAGAGGCAGTGGAGTCTGTGTCATAATCTCTGATGGAACCAAATGTCAAGGCTGGAAAGTGGAATGTGAGGGTGTTACCCTTCATTAATATTGCTGTTCCTATTTCCTTCTGCTTGCTTCTTTTCACCCACAAGTAGCAACATCAAGAGATGAAGGAAAAGATGCTCTGTAAATTATTTCAAGTTTTTAAAAGTTTTTTTAGTCCTCTTAAAATTAGATTAGCTCTTCTGTAATGTTTACCAAAAAATTGTCTTCTTTCAGAGTTCAAGGAATTTTTACTTTCCCCCTGCTAAGAGTATTTCACTTCCATTATCCACTTACTTAATTCCCTTAAAGAGATCTCCACCCACTGCCAATTTCTTGCCTTGACTTTTGTACAACACAGGCATCACTAGGCAGTGTTCTTACTCAGGATAAAACAAAGTTCTGCTGAACCTTTTCTTTCCTCAAAATGCTTATATCAATTTTCTCCTCTGAAACAGAACAGGAACTCATATGCTCTCTATATATAGTGCTTATGTAATAAGGATGCGGTACAAGGCACTTTATTTTTGGGCCTCAGGGGAAGGCAATGCATGAAATACAGATGAAGGCTTTAACCTTTCATTGTTCTAAGGCTCTAACACGATGCTGTTTTCCAATAGGTGCCTTAGACCTGGTCTTATGTTCCTGGCTAGAGGAGATGTATTATAGGAATGTCAGGGGTTATTTTGACTATCTAGCACTGGAATGAAACACTGTGGGGGTATGACAAGCGGCTTCAAACTGACAGAGAGCAGGTTTAGATTAGAGGTGAGGAAGGAATTGTTCCCTGGCAGGGTGAGCAGGCCCTGGCACAAGGTGCCCAGAGCAGCTGTGGCTGCCCCTGGATCCCTGGCAGTGCCCAAGGCCAGGTTGGACACTGGGGCTGGGAGCAGCCTGGGACAGTGCAAGTTGTCCCTGCCATGGCAGGGGTGGCACTGGATGGACTTTAGGGCCCCTTCCAGCCCATTTCTGGGATTCTGTGCCTACCTGCAGTGTGTGGCAGCCCATGTGGGGCTCCGTGTGTGTGCCAGTGTCCAAGAGCCGCACGTGGCCACAGCATCCCCTGCTTGGTTTTTATTCTGTGTTTCGGTGCTCTCTGGAAAATCCTGCTCCCCTGCTGAAACAAAAGGATTTGCATGGCTCTCTTCCCACTCCTGGTGCAAAGAGGATCAGTATTACCCGGAGCTCTCTCTGGGAGGAGTGCTGCTCACTTCTCAGCTGTCTGTGCAGAACACACTCCCACACACGCGCTCGCTGCTGGCCGCGTCACTGCGCTCAGAGTTATTCTGAAATCATTTATTTCTCTCTGTGAGTAAAGACATTCCAGAAAAATAAAGTTTTGAAAACTAAATTGAATTTTTTTATTGTAATTCCCACATTATCTACCATAGGAACCCCTGCTCCCCACCTCCTAAAATGATGAATTTGCTCGTGAAAGCTAATAGTGTATATGGAGAATATGTTCTTTGCTGAAACTGTGCACTTTAATCTTTTAATTATGATATTAATTTTCTTGAAGAATTAAAGATCAAAATGTGAAATCTGTGGAATTATGTCGTTATGGCAAGTATTACAAATAGGAAATAATTTAATTTTTTCTGTAAATCTTGTTTAATCACTTTTAAACATAAAAGGACACACTGGGGTAGAAACTCAGTTAAAACCTTAAAAAAAAAAAAAAGGATTTATCTGTGCTTCTGGGAGTAAGAACCCCAAGACTCTATTTTTTTCCCTCCCCATTTGTCTGTGAGCTCTGTATCTATGCCTGCAACGAAGACAGAATATTATGTAAATGAATGAGCAAGCTTAGAAGATCCATAAGGGTAATTGGAATGAGTTCTGTAGCTTATTTAAAGAAAAAAGAAAAAAAAACCAGGAAAAAACCACCCCACACCTTCCCTTGAGGGTGTTCCGTTTCTGTGTTACCTTCTTAGCTATACACAGATTCACAAATTCCCCAAAACACGTGCAGAGGTGGTAATGGGAGCCAAAGTGGATATTGTCTCCTGACAGCAGAGTTTTGGATTCCCTTTTTTCAGGAGAGGGATGAGGAGTGAAATCTCTTGATTTCGCTCTCAGCGAAGCCGGGAGTGTTTAGACAGCGAGTGTCATGTTGAAAGACAGGAGACGATGAAGCACAGCGACAAACGTGTTGGTGAAATAAAAAAGGACACAGATGGAAAAAGAACAAAAGCCATAAGGGAAGAGAATTCTCTCATAGTTTGCCTGAATTAAGGTAAACAGGAAAACTTTAATAATTTCCAAATATTCAGGTTTCTTCTGATAGTCATAAAAAAAATAGATGCAGTGGCATTCAGTCTGACATTGCTCTAGAAATGCTTTTGCCTTTGCCGCTTGAAAATAGTAACAATATGAAAAAGCTTAGAATAATAATATTTTTGTCCTTAAATGCTTCCATGAAAGGTCTTTACTGGAAAAGGTTTAGGCTTTCGGTTGAGTCAGAATATCAATTTTCAGTTTTGGCACAAGCACATCTCCTCAGGACT